GCAGCCCACAGCCTTAGGGTCAGGTGAGACGGAGCTTGTACCCAAGGGGTCGGGTGAGGCGAAAACCGTATCTTTGGGGTCAGGCGAGGCGGAGCCCGCACCTAAGGGGTCGGGCGAGACAGAGCCCGTGGCCTTGGGTGAGACCCCCGTGGCCCTGGGATCGGGCAAGACGAAGCCCGCACCCAAGGGGTCAGGTGAGGCAGAGCCCGCGGCCTTGGGTGAGACCCCGTGGCCTTGGGGTCGGGCAAGATGGAGCCCACACCCAAGGGGTCAAGTGAGAAAGAGCCCGCGGCCTTGGGGTCGGACGAGACCTTTTAATACGTCTTGCTTCATCTGGGGAAGTCAGGGTATCCCTAATATCGATACCCGATAGGCTTCATGCAATATTGGCATATGTTGGGTGATGATATGGTGCAAAGAAGTTTTGCAGGCTGTAAACTCAGTGTCTGTTCTGGATGGTTGGAATGATACTACTATTGTGATGATTCTGAAAGTTGGCAACCCAGAAAAGGTCTCTCAATTCCGACCCATCAGCCTATGCAACATTGTTTATAAGGTGATCTCTAAGATGCTTGCAACTAGAATGAAGGGTGTCATGCCGAATGTTATTAGTTACCAATAGAGCGCCTTTGTGCCTGGGCGTTTAATAATAGATAATATACTTATTGCTTATGAATGTGTTCATGCCAGTAAGAGGAAGAAAGGAAAGCGCGGGCTGTTTGCAGTAAAGCTGGATATGCACAAAGCGTATGATAGAGTCGAATGGGGATTCTTGGAAAAAATGATGCTCAAACTGGGATTTGATGATCGGTGGGTGAAATTGATTATGGCTTGTGTTTCCTCTGTTAGATACCCGGTTCGATTCAATTCAATGGAGACAAAGATGATTACACCCACCAGGGGTATCCGGCAAGGGGACCCCTTGTCCACATATTTATTTTTAATTGTGGCGGAAGGCCTCTCTAGCTTGATCCAGCAAGCGGAGGAGAGGGGAGAATTGGAGGGAATAAAAGTTGTAGGGAGGCACCCATGGTGTCTCACCTCTTATTCGTTGATGATTCGCTAATTCTGATGCATGTAGATAAATCTAATGCAGACTGTCTCAGAGGTATTCTTGATATGTATTGTCAAAGCTCAGGATAAATGCTAAGTGCAGCTAAATCAAATATCTTTTTCTCGGGTAATACAGAGGCGGATGTGAAACTTGAGGTATGTGAAACTCTGGATATTATGAGTGAGTCTTTAAATGATAAATATTTGGGCTTACCAGCTTTGGTGGGAACCGATAGGAGTGATTGCTTCAGACACCTAATTGATAGAATCTCCATGCGGATCAATGGCTGGTAGGAAAAGCTTCTTAGCATGGGTGGTAAAGGGATCTTAATCAAATCAATCGCCCAAGCCGTGCCAACATATACAATGATGGTCTTCAAAATCCCAATCAACATTTGCAAAGGGATGACGGATGCCATATCACAGTTTTGGTGGGGGTGATGACGATGATAAGAGGAGGATCCATTGGCAAGCTTGGTGGAAATTATGCTTACCAAAATATAAAGGGGGCATGGGATTCAGGGATTTCCATAGCTTCAACTTAGCCATGATAGCGAAACAAGTTTGGAGATTATTGTATAATCCAGATTCTCTATGTGCAAGGGTGTTGAGAGCTAAATATTATCCAGATTGGAGACTCCTTCAAGCCAAGCTCAAAAGTGGGAGTTCTTTTACTTGGCAGAGTGTGCTTGCAGGCCTTGAATGTTTTAAGTGAGGCTATATATGGCGTGTCGGAGATGGTACACAAATTAACATATGGAATGATAATTGGACTCCTGGAAGCCACAATTTGAAAGTTTTAACACCGAGAGGCAACATTGTGATCTCAACTGTGGATGAACTTATTAATCCTATTGATGGTAGATGGGATGAGGCGCTGATCAGATCGCTATTTTGGTCAGTTGATGTGCACCGGATTCTCCAAATTCCAATCTATAGTGGTCGAGAAGATCTTATTGCCTGGCATCCTAATCGGAATGGCTTATTTACTGTGAAATCTGCATATCACTGTCAGTGGGCACATAAATTTGCGTCCAGGAACTATACATCTGTGGCAGGAGGCTCAGGTCTACAGCCGGTGTGGAAAAAATTATGGAAACTCTCAATGTCGAGCAAGGTTAAAATCTTTGTATGGCGAGCTCTTCATGGGTGTATCCCATGTTTTGCTATCTTGGTTAATAAGCACATTACGAACATTGTAAATTTCCCGGTATGCAAGACGAAGGCGGAAGACATAAGACATATTCTATTCTCATGTAGCCGTGCAAGGGAGGTTTGGAGTGCACTGGATGCCTGGCCCCATATTGAGAAATTATTGATCATTGATAGATCAGGCTCAGTGCTGATACAGGAGATCATCAGAAGGGGCGGTGAGGACACTGAACTCAAGATTGGCTGGACTAAACTCATTCTCACTGGATGTTGGTACATTTGGTGGCAAAGGAGACAACTAGTCCACGGAGAAGATATCCAAAATCCATCAAGATCAGCAATGTCTATTGCAGCAATTACAGCAAACTACTTTACTGCAGCAAAGAAGGTGACTGTGATCAATCAGGGATGGAGGAAGCTATCAAAGGGACATTTGATGATTAATATTGACGGTGCTTTTGACGAAACAAAAGGTTCGGGAAGCTCAGGTGCTATCATCAGAGATTCAGGGGGTGCGTTCATCGCGGCGTCTCATAGTTTCATACCCCATGTCTTAGATGCAGCGTCATCGGAGGCAGCTGCTCTTTGTGATGGTCTTCTTTTAGCCCAACAAATTGGATGTAATCGTATTGAGATCCAATCTGATTGCATGGAAGTGGTTCAAACGATGCAGGATGGAGGGTTCTTGGCTACGGCTGCAGTGGCTATCTATGATGAGATTGTTATACTCTGGAAGGAATTTAGTGAGATATCTATTAGTCATTGCAGTAGACTATGTAATTCAGTAGCCCATGAGTTAGCTAGGCAAGCTTTATTACAAAAGAGTTCTCAGATATGGATAGATGATCCCCCTTCTTCTATTTTCCATCTTCTTGTAAACGATGTAACAGTCTTCATGAATCAATAAAGTTTGCCTGAAGTTTCAAAAAAAACTCAAAAAAATATTATTCTTATTGTATCGTTTTTTATTGACAAATCTATCTAACCTCCATACATGGACTCCGGTCTCTCTATATATTACAACCATGCCTTTTCTTTTTCATTACACCTCGCGTGCATGCTTCTCTCTCATCGACGATTGGGTGGCCATCGCTGCCGTCTATGCTAGGTGCTCAGGTCTTTTTCGAGCCATTTGCCGATGAGCACCACTAGTTACGCCCACCCATTGATCTCCCCTTCCTGTTATGTGAAACCAGAGCACCCAAACCTAATTTACTATTTGTATTTAGACTTGATCTAGTTACAAGCATATATGCATGTATTATGCCTACTAACTTTGATTGTTTTGTAAAAAAAAAATATCAAGTATACATGTACACCTATGTCCTTTTCTAGGTTTGCTCCTAATTATAGATGGCTAACAAGGTCGAGCTTAACGGACATGACCCGGTACCGCGCTAGGCACGACCCAAACATGTAGGGCTCGATGGCTAGCGTCGTGCTTTGGACCTAACTTTTGACTCGTAGTGCCTGAACGAGCACAACATGTTTACATGTCGGCGGCGTGATAGGATTGCTTCATTCTATAACCCTAAATGCATCCTCATAATGCTTTTTTCCTAGTCCGACTCTCCTTGTCGCATGTATTGCCTCCTCCCCATTTGCCACTCCTTTCCCTTGCTGCTTTCATCCCTCTCCTTTCGGCTTCGGTCATCTCCTCCCTTCTTAGCAACACTCCTTTCCCTTGTGGTCGTTGCTCCCCTCCCGGCCTCCCCCCTCTCGTTCTAGCCCTTCCTCCTGTCCGTAGTTGGACAACACGACAACATCAGCTAGGCGATACTATAGTGGCGCATAATCGATTTGTGTATGCGTATGTATGGATGATGGATCTTTGACTTGAATTTGGCTTGTTTTTTGGTATATTCTTAACTCTTAAGTTTTCCAATTTGTGTATTGGGTCTCTGGGTCGACACAGGCACATGAGCTCACCGGTGGATCTTATTTATGGGCCACCTAATCCGATCTAAACGAAAAAAACTTAATCGAAAGTAAGAACCTGAACCTAAAAAAAACACAATCCCATTCAACCCACGAATGTGTCAGGTGGAGCTCAGGCTCCTTTGATCTAATCTCATGTTTGATCGGATCTATTCACTAGGCTTGACGTGCCAATATATATGGGCGCAATTAGTACGTTTGGCATATAGAATCTGTTTCGATTCTTTTGAGAATCAGCAGAAACCGTGCCAACGGTATAGATGTAAAACGTTTCTAGCAGAACAGTTCCAAGTGATATAGCAGAACAGTTCTAAGTGATTCTCATTTTTGTTCCTACGAATATGAATTGCTGAAACAGGTTTTGCGGTGATTTTGATTCTGCAGCCAAACGGTGCAGTGATTCTGATTTCCTATCCGAAATATTTTCTGAAAGAATTTAAATCTGAAACGTTTCTGCGAGAACTTAGATCGCCCCCAAACCAACCCTAAGGCTCCGCGGTGTCGTGACAGTTGAGACCGTCAGCAAGCACGGCACGACTAACTGTGCTCGTTCCTAACCGTGTTCGTGCTCGTGCCCCTGGCATGCGGTGCAGTCGCTTGGCCATTTTACCCTACTTCGAATCGGATCGGAGGTTCATAAAACGCCGCCTCAATTCCTCTGAGTCCGATTAAGCTCTTCGTGTTCGACTCAGTCTCGAATCAGCGGTCCATAAAACGCGGAGGCACTCATCAATTTCTCACATCGTCTCGCAGTGTAGCCTCCCTTCTTAACGTGCTTCCTCCATCCCATCCGCATCTGTTCTCTCCGGCGACCAGCGGCCGCATCGAGCCCCTCCCACAGCCAGCGGCCGGCGAGCATGGCGGTGTACTACCGGTACAAAAGCGGCGTTGACACCTTCTCCGTGCCCGTGCCGGCGCCCTCTATCCCCGTCGCCGACCTGAAGCGGCTAATCCTGGGGACCGCCCGCCACGGCCACGGCCGGACGCGCGGACGCGGGCAGACGGAGAGCGTCGCGCTCTACGACTCTACGACCGGCGAGGAGTATACGGACGACCGTGATCTTGTCCCGCGCAGCTCGATGGTGCTGGTGCGCCGGGTCGCTGGGCCTCCCGCCGAGGCCATCACGTTCGCCTCCCAACCGCCGCCCAAAGCACCGACGCGTGATGGCGCATCGTCGGATTTTTCGGCCGTAACATCGAGTTCACCCGCCGAGGGTGACGAGGACAGGGCCATCAGCAAGGTGATCGACGCAGCGCAGCTCGAGTCGGAAGACCAACACCGAGGGCGTCACTGTAGTAACCGCGGCGCACTAGAAGGAAGGCCGGCCCCGCCGGCCGGGTACGTGTGCCGCAGGTGTCGCGTCCCGGGCCACTTCATCCAGCACTGCCCCACCAATAGCGATCCCAGATATGATTTGCTGCCGAGGGCGTCGTCTAACGCCAATCTGCCTACTACGTCGCCAGCGTCCCCGAGCCCCGACGACGGAGTCCCACCGGAGCTCCACTGCAAGATTTGCAACAAAGTGATGGCGGACGCGGTGGTGGCCTCCAGGTGCTGCTTCGGCAGTTTCTGCGACGCGTGCATCAGGGGCCAGATCGCCGCCAAGTCCAGGTGCGTGTGCGGCGGGCAGGCGCGCGCCGACGACCTGATCCCCAACCTGACGCTGCGTGCAACCATCGCCAAACTGCTCGCTACGAAGGCCGCCGGCAGCGGATCCGCTGGCACAGACAATCGGAAGAGCTCCGCCGGCAGCAACGCAGAGCCCACGTCGCGGAGTCCGGCCGCCTCGCAGGAGAACCTCAGCCACGTATCGGCAACTGCCGGCTCAGAGCACAGCGACGGGAACGCATCGTCGTCGACGTCGAAGAGCGCGGCAGCTCCGGCGGCGGCGCGTAAGCCAGCAAGAACGAAGCAGACTACGGCGGATCCGCAAGTAATCGCTGCGCGCACCGGCTACCCCGAGCAGTACGGCTACGGCGGCCCGGCATGCTACGATCCTTTCTTCGGTGCGACGCCGTGGGCATGCGATCCGTACACGTACCACGGGATGCCTTACGGTGGCGGCTACATGAATGCCCCGGTACCGAGCGGCTACCACGATGGATGGGGATGGCAGGGGAGGAAGAGGACGGCCGATGGGTGGAGTATCAGAGACACGCGGAGGGTGGTTTCAAGAGGAGATGCAGAAGCAGATTGGAGGTTGCCGTCTAACACAAGAACTTGAAGCCGGAGTTTCTGATCACTGCTGATGTCCGCTGCTGATCGGCGGCTTCCTTTTCCACTAGTGCTAATGACTTGCCTATGTAAGGGGGAGTAGATGTGCCTATATTATGTAATGATGTATGTACTCGATAAATTTTGCTAAATCAGACGACTATGTATGTTTTCAGCAGTGTGTCTCAACTCTCAAGAATCAAAATATCTTACATGAAGTCTCTTTAAACTGCCAATTTGCTCTGTAACGGAGACATTACTCTTTAGGCCTTGATGCGTATTTATTCATCTCAATCCATATGTACTGAAGTGGATTGGAGTGGAATTAAACTAAATTTCATTTCATTTCACTCCAACACATATGGATTGAGGTGGATATACATGCATCCAAATATGGCCTTATTGTTTCTGCAATTACTGTACCATGTCGAAGTTAAGATTAGTTAAGCATTTAGGATCGGTGGTGTCGGGGTCTCGGCACATCTTGTTAGTTGGTAGTACTTGGTAGTGGCGGCAGTCGCATCGCATCGCATACCTTCTGTACCACAGCGTTACCACTAACTCGAAGAAACACGTCCAGGAGGCCAGAATCCACGTCCACGCTGCACCTCTGCAATCCTGCTGCAGCTCCACGGAACCCCTGTGGGCTTCCGACCGGCTCAACAAGTGCAAGATTTCTCGTCTAAAAAAAACATGTGCAAGATTTCAGCATGGGCTGTGTGGGCCAATCTTCGGCCTCCTTTGATGGACCATATTTGGCTCAATATGTGCTCGCGTTTCGGCCACCCATTTTTTTATTTATCTTAAAAAATGCTCATCTGATCTCCCTAATGGTCTAAATAGAATCGAGACAACTATTTAATTTATCATTTAGTCAACAAGAGAATTACTACTACCATAATTGGAATCCAACTACTTCCTCATTTTTAAATTATAAGACGTTTTTTTGCTTTTCTAGATTCATGACTTTTGTTATGCACCTACATATTTATTATATCTAGACTGGATACATAGTAAAAGCTATGAATCTAGAAATGCCAAAACGTCTTATAATTTGAGACAGAGGAAGTAAGAGCATCTCCAAGAGTTCACTAAATCCCTTCTTAATTCTTGGTTTTTAGCGAGATGAGAAAAAACCATCCCCAATAACTCCTAATCCACCATCCTAATCTTTTAGAACTCGGTAAAAGTCACGTTGTTCCGCGTAAAGTTATGCGCTTCCGAGTCGCGCGTATCTTCTCTCCCCGCGCGTGTTTATCGGCCAATCTAAAGGTGGAAGGGCGTGAAAAGACTAAAGAGTAGGAAAGGGTTCCTGATGCAAATGTACAAGAGAGAAAGAATATATAAAAGTGGTTAGGATAATAATTTAGAAATAGTATAGTATTCCTGATGTAAAAATGTCTTCTATATTTTAGGAGTGGATTATTATAAACTCTTGGAGATGACCTTTTTATCCCTTCCAATATATTTTTAGGAGTTCTAAAACTGCATGTTTTTGGAAGAAAATATTGAGCACTGCTAAAGATGCTCTAATTGACATAGTAAGTACATGAGGTTGAGTGGGATTTACTTTTCTTTTCAAAAATAATTATTTGATAATTGAGTTCGATTGACCTTACTTAATTAAAAACAGAATTTTAGACTCTTCAACTTTTGAAACCATCCAATTTACCTCTTTCTGAGCAGTTTTAAAAGCGACTTTGGCTGACGTGGTGCAATGTCAGCCATGGCCCACGAGAAAGGTAAATCGGACTTTCGTGATAGCTCAAGAAGATCAGTTAGACTTTATTTATACAAAAAATTAGAGATATTTTTACAATAAATAATTTTTTTGAAATAAATATGCATTAAACTAACTAATTTAATATTGGAAAAAATTGTTTTTAACTTAGAAAAATATGAAATCAAGGCCTTATGATGTGTTTGGTTCATGGAAATGTAACGTGATCTCATTACGAGGGAAATTGGGTCGCAATACATGTGCTTGGTTTAGCCCAGCCCGTTATGAGATACCGTGGAATCGGATATCGCTCCATTCACCGCTGTTACCGCTCGTTCATGAGTTTTACCCCATTACGCCGCCTCCGCATCCCCGCTCAAAGGCTTCAAATGCCTCCGCTCTTGCAACCAAACAGATCAAGGAATCAGGGACCCTCCTGCTACTCCCTCGCCATCTATTTCTAATACTGCTTTGTCATCTTAGTGCCTTAGAGGGAATGGCCATGTTGTCAAGTCAACCTGAGCCTAACGATGGTGGCAGGTGAGAAGATGTATGGACACTATCGGCTAGGGGAGCGAAGTGAAGGGGGCGCGAGGGATCCAACATATGGAGCTATTAGGTATAGTTTTAGCTTTGAGATTTACGTTGGATCTGTAGTTTATATACTAAAGTAAAGTATCTAAAATATTTTTTTTAAATGTCACCTGGGGAGATTGTTCCCCCACCTGAATTTTTATTTCAAAACTTGGAGGCACAGATTACATTTGTTCTGCCACAAAACGTTGTGTCGGGGGTTGATGATGTTGTAGCTCTACATTACATCACTAAACACATGACACCAGAGATCAGCTACGGCTCTCGAAGGTACCAACTGTCGCGGAGTCAGAACCGCGACAAGCATTGTTGTTTGAGTCGGTGTCAGAGTACTGGTCTCCAGTGGCTCGGGTGGACTAAAAACACAAGAATCACAGAGAGGATGTAACGGTTTATCCTGGTTCGGTGAATCGGTGTCTTACATCCAGCAGCTAATGATCCTTATACTCAAAAGCACCCAAAATCGGGGGTTACAATAGGGTTGTAGAGAGATTTGGTAGGGAGTTAGCTCGGTGCTAATCCTAAGGTTGCCTCACCGTCGGTGGAGTCTTCCCCTCGTCGGAGAGGAGGAAGACGATGGGATGCGGTGGAGGAGCTCTCGGTGCCCCTCCCTGGGTTGCCTTGCTCTCGATGCTGAGCAGAGGCCAAGGAATGGAATGGAACGGGATGATCTATCTTCTGATGATCATCCCCCACTAGGTCCAACCTTATCCCTTATATAACAAGATAGGTTGAGTATATGGTGGTTTGGGGGAGCGAGTCTATGGTCTACATGCATCGGAGTCTAGGTGGGCCTTACAGCTACGCGCGGTGGACCATGGCGGTGTCGTGGAGCCAAAGAAGCCTTGGGCGTCGTTCGGCTGCTCTGTTACGACACTCTGCGTGTCAGGCTGTGTCGGCTTGGACCGGCCTCCCCTAGGTGGACCTTCTGGAGTCTTCTTGGCGGTGAAGGAGGTTGGCTTCAGGGGCTAACGTGTGGGCCCGAGGGCCTTTGAGCCCCTAGAGGCTACGAGGAAGCTTTGTCTTCTTGTGTCACGCCCCGTGCGTGACCTTGTTGGGAAAGTGGCCGACAATGCCATATCCAAGGGGCTACGTTAGGGAGCCCCCAAGCCTCGATAGCTAGGGGCGCATCTTCTTGCGCCCAGGCCTTGGCTAGCATCGTTGGTTGGGCAAGAGCCAAGGGCCGGGCCAGAGTGTTGACGTTGATCAAGAGCCTCAGAGCTCGTGCGAGCCCCCAAGCCCCAAGCGAATGTCGCGGCGTAGTCAGGCTCGGTAGGGTTTCTTCTCCGAAGGGTGCATGTGAGCGTATCCGATGGGTATAGCCCCTGAGCCCCGGGGTGATCCTGGAGGGGTTGGTCGGGGGGTCTTCTTTATTCGGGAACCATTGAACCATAGGCTTAACATACCCATATGTTAGGATCTCATCAGGAGCCTCCGAGCCCTTCATGGCCTCACTTGGTGTGATGGCGATGAAGGGCTGAATTCGATCTTCTGGTGACCGAACCCTCCTTGGTGGGGATGGCTTCTAATAACAAGGGTGTTATGCCCTACTTGGGGCCTTCTTCTCCAATGTGATGGGTGTTGCTCGGCTGTCGAGGTCGAGCGATGATGGTGTTGATCCCTTCGTGAGTCTATGTCACACAGGTCTTTGACTCGAGCGACGTCTCGGCGAACTCATCTAGGAGTTGCCGACCTTAGGCCCGGGGGTGCCCTCCTTTTCGATCGGAGACTATCGTGGGTCGGGTGATCGAGAGCGTCTGGGCTTTGGCTTGGGGCCATATGATCATCTGGAATGCCACACCCTTCTGAGGGCTCCGGTAGCAGGTCCCGATCCTCTCAAGATGGCCTTCTAGGGCTGACCTTTTGTGGCCATAGATCGGGGTGTGAGGAGCACGCTGAGCCTTGGACGGAGGCCCTCGTTGGACCCACTGCTTAGCGGCTCCTGCCCCAACTCTAGGGAGTTGGTTAGTTTTGGGGGTGCATCACCCGAGCGCCCATCGATTAGGGGGTCAGGTTGCTCCATCCGGGGAGCTGGCGTAGCCCTCTAGGCTGTCGTGGGGCCTCCCTATCAGCGGGAGTGTTGGCTTCTAGGCACGTTCCTTCTACTTACATCTTGTGCAGGTAGTTGATGGCGTCTGGGCCATCGTTCCTGGTGGAGGAGTTATGGCGTGCACCCCCACGCCATCCCACTTCGTCTAGGAGATGGAACGTCGAGGCCACGTGGAGCAAATCTAATGGAGGAGGAGCCGTGGCACTTGGTGCGTGTGGATTCAGGCCATCAATGATAGCCGGTGTGCCCGAGGGGAGTCGGATCCCCTCGAGTCCCACGAGGAGGCATGCATGGAGTGGGCGGCGTGCGTGGTGGAAAGTGGAGCATGGACTTGACTCGTTGTCAGCGGTTCCTTGACTTTGCCTTTACTGCATGGCCATCATCACGCAACCGCCCTGAGGCGTGCTGTCGGGATTGAAGGGACATATGGCTGATTCCCCAAGGCCCCTTCTAGCCATTGATGGCTGATCAGAGGCCCAGAGCTGCTCACAGCGCATCGTGTGGGCTATAAAGGGGAGCCCCGGGGAACGCAACATCTTTAATCCCTTCCTCTAGCCCCTTCTCTTCTTCCTCTCAGATCCATCTTCTTCGGCGGTGATGGCGACTATGAAGTGCGACGCTTCCCTCTGGGTGAGCCTATATTGGT